GCAGATTCTTCTCCTGCAGGCTGTAGAGCTTTTTCAAATAAAATCATCCTGAGGCGGAGCTCACGGTCTTTTCTGGCTCTCGCCGTCAGGGAATTGCAGTGGGTACAGTTGTGGGGAGAGTGAGTCTCCCCCAAACACCGTATGCAGTCCGAGTGGCCATCTGAAGCTGGCATTGGGTCCCGGCATTGACCGCACTTTTTAAACCCTGAGGAGCCGGACATTGCAGGCTCTCTCCCTCTTGAAAGTATTATATTTATCTTCTATATTGTTATAGTTTATGTGGTTTTGCTTTTTTTTTTTTTAAAGTCTTTATGTGTTTCTTTTTTGACAGGCGGGAGAAAGCCGGTTCACTAGAGTCCCGGTCTGAGGTAAGTTCAAGCCCCCTGAGGGGGGGATTTAATTACATTTATTTTTCCTATTTCTAGGGTTTTTTTTTTTTTTTAATAAAGAAACAAGGAAAGAGTAACTAGGATAAAACAGGGGAAGCTAACTATGCATCAATAACTAAGAGGAAAGTAGTCAGATAATCTGACAGGGAGCTCCTGACTGCTCTGTCTGCTGACGAGGGCGGTTAAAGAGGAACTGAAAGGGAGGGGGTTGAGTCACACTCCTCAGGAGGAAGGAAGAGCTCAAGACGCCACCTGGGCATGCGTGGCTCAACAGGGGAAACTGCAATACAAAGCTCCGATCTGCGGCTCAGGGCAACCCTTCACCTACAGTGGAGCACCCACGGGGACACTACTCGAAGAACAACAGAGGGTTTTCAACTATGTTTGGGAGATGAAATTCGCTTTTGAGGAGATAAATGGAAAACCAATGTGTTGTCTTTGTCAAAAGACTATTTCTGCGTTAAAGAAAACAAGATTCACGGTGCTGTTGCAAGTTTATCACTCTGAGTTCCAAGACTCGTATCTACCTGACAGCAATTGAAGAAAAACTAAGATACGCTTCCCTTACCAGGTAAAAGTAGTCAATATAGGGGTCTTCTGTTGGTGTGTGTTTTAGTCGTTAAATTTCTGGACTGTCATTGCTCATTAAAAGTTGTGTCATATGGGTGGAAATTGGGTAAAAATTACATTTTATTAATATCAGCAGAACTGACTTAAAAGGGGTCTGTGCGTTGTATAGACTTGCCTTAATCTTTGTATTCATGCCCATCTGTGTGAAAGAAGCTATTTTCACGTATATGCAACCACACTTAAGTTGCGGCATTCGGTATGTGCTGTGAGTATCACTGTCCCCCAGGGCTTGCAAAGTTGAGTAGCCCTGGACTAAAACTTAAGCCCATGTAGCACAGGCCTGGTGAGAGGCCTGAGACCTATCTAACAACAGACAAAACCTGGCTAACAAAGCAAAGCTAAGCTGTGAGCAAGAGGCAGGCTGAGAAACAGGACTGAGAAAACACAACACACTAATTGATAATAGGCCCAGGTGTAGAACAGTATTTGGTGCTTTCATAAGTTGAAAGTACATGGTACTAGAAGCTCATTAAAACGACCTTGGTACACACTCCCCACACACACAGACCCAGGTTCAGGCAAGAATCTAAAATGAAAGCATGATGGATAGAAATGATCTAATCCAATGAGAAGGTACAGGGCAATGGGTGGTACTCAAGTAGCATCAGAGGATGTTAACCTGACGTCAGAGGGAGGGAACCTGACACATCAGCAACAAACAGCCATAGAGTTTTGGCCAAAAACCTTCAGAACACAAAAGAAAACCATTGCTTTAGACACATGAACAGTAATTTCAGGGAAAATTTTAGTTAAAGCCATTTGTTCCACATGGAGCACCCAACCATTCAGTATCAAAGTATGCAACTGGCTCTCAGTTCTTAGTTTTGTATCCCTAAATAGCCGGACGATCACCAATTGAAGTTATAAAGTTTGTTTTTTGTGTCTTGGATTCTGGGTCATTTTCAAGTTCACACACACTAATGACACTCAAGACTGGTCTAATCTGCCCTGCAGCCCAGCTCAGCTGCACATTGGCTCCCAGCCCCTCTCCCCACACTCCCACAGCACAGCTGAGATGTATGCCATCTCCCATTTCCTCCACAACAGACCATGTAAACTGCACATTACCCTCTCCCCCCACATAGTTCTGGGCTCCTGACCCCCTACAGCACACCGGGACTCTCTGACCCTGGAACATCTGTGATCCTTCTGGACCATGGATGTTGCCAGACCAGAGAGTTCTGGTTTACAGAGGTGCAACCTGCAGTAGGAAAGTAGGAATAAGAAATCCTCTGGAAAAGGGCTTATTTTCCAGAGAATCACGTCTAGACTGGCGCTTTTCTCCAGCTTATCCCCAAGCCGGAAAAAAGCGGCAGCCATGTAAATGCAAATGCCGCGGGGGATATTTAAATCCCCCGCGGATTTGCAATTGCGATGCGTCTCATTAGCATCCCTTTTCCGGAAAGGGATGCCAATGTAGATACAGCCATGGTGTTTTAGTTTCTCTCATTATGAGCAATGGAAACAGACTATCCAAGGGGAAAAATGCTGTATTTTCTCTAACCAAGGATTCTCATTTGCTCTAAAATGAACAGATTCACAAAATGTACTTTTTACTAAAATCTTCATGGTTTTCTAGAGGTCAGTATTTTTTATAAAAAATATTACAAAGGGAAAAAATGGGTTTGTACCTTTTGCTTCTTTTTAATAAATATCTGAAGGCCCAAAAGATAGTTTGGGTTCTTTACTTTAAAAATTAGAATCCTAGTAAATCTGGAACAATTTAATGGTGGAGCTAGTGAAATTTTGCAACACTAATACACAAAGCACATCAGCGGAGAGGTGAAAGGTGGGTTTTGTTTGTTTGTTTTTTTACACACTCAGGCTTTGGTCTGACTGACATTTAATTTCAGTAACAATTTGGAAAAAATTAAGATTCCACATTAAGGCTTTTTGTCACCCTTCAAAGTTGTGAGAGCTAATAAAATAAGTCCCTAAAAACAAAGTGTAGTCCTGTGACACCTTTTGCTAACCTAAGGTGCCACAGGACGTGTATGGACTAACATGGCTACACCTCTAAGTCATTTTAAAAAGTCCCTGAAACTCTACCCCTTTCCCCAAAAAAAGAAATATTTGTACAAAAATAAAAAAAACACCCACACCCACCATAGCCCTATTTTGCTACTCATTTTCATCAAAAGGTAAAAAAAAACGAAGAAGTTTTTTATATAGTACAAAGCATCAAAAGGTGTAGAAACTAATTTTTAAAGTATCTTTTGCAACTAGCTACAAGTAAAAGGCTAAAAATGCACTAACCAGTATTGCTGGAGGAGGATCAAGTCCTGAGACCTCCACAAGGATTGTGTCATATTTGTCAAAATTAATTCCTGTCTGGTAGTGTGCAAATATGGCTTCTTCATTGTCAGGTGGAGGTGGAGGCACATAGGTCACCTTTGGACCTTCAGAAAACAAAAGAAAATAAATTATTTCAGATACATGAACAGTAAATTTGTTCCATGTTCTACTGAATTGTTTGGGTGCTCCACATTATTAATCTGAACTTAATAATTCACGTACGAGAAAACCCTTCCCATTTCTCAGCAAAGACCTCAGTAGTGTGCTGTACAGTACTGATGTTAATACCTTTTTTTAACCCAAAATATACTATTGTACTTTTATAAGACATCAAACAACATTTGGGGCGGGGGAGGAGGAAAACGTACCTATAGTTGCCGAAGAATCTATCACAAAGCTATCTGCTTAGCATTTTTTATGTACAAATGGCTCTTCCAATCAATAGAGATAATTAGTGAGAGTCTACCATGTAACTACAAAAACAAGAGTGTTTTTGACACTAGAAAGTGCTGAAAACAAATTTAGTCCCAACTTTGTCTGGCACCTCAGTAAACTGCAAGTAGCCCTTGTATGTGGAAGTGAAGCTCTTTGTAAGTGCATTAGGAAGAGCAAACTGTTCAGAAAAGTATGTTTTAGAACAAGTGTTTGATCAGAATATAAAAAAATTTGGATCTAGAAAATTTTTTCAAGACTCATTTGAAAGTCATCTGGTAAAGCAGCAAGAAAAGCAACTGTAGAGTGACTTTCAATATTGACCATCGACAAAGTATAATCATAACTACTGATTATAGCTTTAATTTGGGGAGGGGAGGGGAAGGGGATAGCTCAGTGGTTTGAGTATTGGCCTGCTAAACCCAGGGTTGTGAGTTCAATCCTTGCAGAGGCCATTTAAGGATTTGGGGCAAAAATTTGTCAGGGGTGGTACTTGGTCCTGCTGTGAAGGCAGGGGACTGGACTCTATGATCTTTCAAGGTCCCTTCCAGTTCTAGGAGATAGGCAATCTCCATTATTATTATAAAAATTCTAAATAAAAAGAAAACAGTAACACATGCATAATTGTTAATTAACACATTGTACAGTAAAATCATAAATTATAAGGCCAAAAAGGATCATCTAGCCTGAACTCTTGTGTGTCACAGGCACTTTAGAGATAATGGGTGAAATTAGGCACAATAACTTATACTTCTCTAAAGCAGTCTCTCTCAACCAGTGGTACAAGTACCCTTGGGGTACTTCAGACGTCTGTGGGGGAGCAAGAGGAGGGTACATCAACACAACTGAAATTTGGAGAAAGCAGAATTTGTGTTTTAAGTTTTAGAGTGTTTTATTATTTTTGTACTTTTTACACCCAAAAATTTCATCGCCTGCCCAGCTACAATTAAGTTGTTTAAAAAAAATGTGTTACAATGGTAGAAAAAAACAACATTGTGTCTGAAAACTGTAGGTACTGGGAGTACTTCTTTTTTTTAAGGGGGTTTATAAAAAGGTTGAGAAACACTGGTCTAAAACATATCTTTCAGAAAGGAACAAGTCTTGAATACTTGATGAAACAGAGACCATCACTTTGCTTTGGGGTAAACTCTTCAAATGGTTAGTCACCCTTTCAAAAATGTGCATCTTATTTGCTATTTGAATTTGTCTGGCTTCATCTTCCACTGAGTTCTTGTTATCTACTAGATTAAACCATCCATATTACCTAATATCAGAAGGGTAGCCATGTTAGGCACTTCCTCATTCTTGCAGATTCAGACTATCAACTAAGTTCAACGGTCAATAGAGATTCCATCGACTAGCCAATTAACCACATTTTAACATCCCTATCACTGACCACAGAGCTGACAATATGGGTCTATACACCCCTGTGTTTAGCCCATTTAAGTATGCTGATCACATACTTACGTTTTATTACTATTCGGATGTAATAAATGGATTATTTTTAGGCATGTTTAGTTGGCCTTAGACTTTAAAAAAGGAATTTGATTAAATTAGTTTGGTGTTTTCCCATAACTCCAAATATTAATTCCAACAAATTCCCTTCTTCTACAGAACAGATTATAAATGCCAGAGTAGTCATCCTGAACTTTTGAGGCTTCTCAAACTTGTTAATTTTTTAGCAGTAAGATTAGCCTGCAACCGCCATCCTTTTTTGGTAGTAGGAAGTATTCTGAGAAGTCCCTGCACCATAAGGAAAAAAGGTTGGTTCTATTGTTGCTAGTTGAGAAGAAAATCCACCTCTTGCTTAAGTAGAAGCTTGTGAAAGGAGTCCGTTAAGACGGATCAAGAAAGGGGTGAAAGGCTTCTGTCTTTCAAGTAAATTCAATACACTTAAGTGAATTCTATTCATCAAACATCTAGGGAAAAAATATTTTAAAGTGTCACAAAAATTATGGCAAAGTGATAATTCCCAATTCTGGTTATATGGTGCCTATGGCAACTGAAATGTTTTGAAAACGTTTAATGGGTCTGTGGATTGCCTTGGTGGATGGACACTAAGATGGATCCATTGTGTACCTGAAGGTATTTACAATACATTTTTATATAACGTGCTTGGCACGAGTATTTCACTCAAATTATATTTTCAAATTAATGAAATCTAAAATGGAATAAAAAACAAGGGTCTTCTGGCCTTGTAAGTAATTCTACCTACATGCATTCCCAATGAATTTCTCTATTTACCTTGATAATCACCATCTTCATTTTCACCATCTGACTTCCAAGAACCTTAAGTAGAAAAGAAATATATTAAGAAGAAAGAATAGTCTGGCAATTAAAAAAACAAAAACATTGAATTATTTATAAGCTACCTTAGATAAACTACTTACTTCTTCCTGAACCTGCAATTACTTCTTCATTGTAACCTCTGTATCCCCCTGTTAAAAAGTGTCATAGAAGAAAACTTCAGGCTCTAGTGCTTTTCAAAAATTAAAAGTACAGTCACACCATACAAACATGTACAATGGACAGCATGGAAGGAGCTTAAGTCCTTGTGGACATAAAAAAAATGGATGATAGAGGCAGAGAGTTGTAAGTGCCAGACAGTAGTAAGCGAGTAAATGGGCAGCAATTAAAACATGTGAGCTAAGCTACTGAAGACTATTATCCAAAGTTTGCGTTTAATACAGTAAAGAAGAGTGTGACCTGATGAAAGCAGTGAGTTGGGAAAAAAGGATTGTCCTGTCTGTTTCAATATAGGTGACAGCCACATAAACACTCACATAGTGGGGGTCAGAGTTCCTGTAAGCCAAACTAGAGGATCACTGTCCTGAATGCTGCATCATTCCTTGTTTGCTGAAACCTACCATGATAGTACAAGTCACCCACAGAGCATCTACAATCTACTCTTGATTCAATTCATCATGAGGCCTGTGACTCTGCCTGCAATTTTAAGTGAGAGGACCCACTGCTAGGCTACCAGGGCAATGTCATGCTCCATGGTTCCAACTGTCCTTATCTTGATGAGTAGCACAATGAATAATGGTGCCACCATTGGCAGCACTGCCATGCTGAAGAGCAATGTCTCGACGCTGAGCTGTGCTGAAATCGGTTCCTAGGCAACAAGCAGTGCCACAACAGGGAGGGGAGTGGAGTGGAGTGGAGACTGCAGCCAATGCTGAGAGTTAGACTGGGGTCTAAGCAGGGTGCCATGTTGCTGCAGTGAGTGTGGTCTTACTGCAGTCTCCTGATAATGAATGGGATGGAGAGCAGTGTCTCTGTCAATGCAGGCTTGTCCAGCGTCGATGCTTGCCCGTTTGTGGCCAGAACCCGAGCTGCCTGGTTTACTTTCTGCAGACCTGGGCTTGGAAACAGCCATGCCAGGAGATTTAAGAGATTATGTTCCACCTCATACACCAATGGCATCGATGGTGCTGCCACAGCTATGTCCCCATCTTGGCTCCCCCTATAGCTAGGGGTTTTATGTGCCACACTCAATGGTTTTCCTGCTGGTGACAGTCTACGGTGCTGGTTGAGCTGCCTTCAATTGAGTGTGGCCTGCCATAGATTGCACAATCTTTCGAAGGGGAGTATCCCCGGTCATAACGACTGCTTCTTCAGCACTAACGATCAGTGCACCAGATAGTGGGCATCACCTTCTTGAGCACCGAGGAAGTACACTAGGAGAATGGTGCCAGGGAGCTCAAGCCACTCTACGTGTCCCAAATTCTGGTATGCTTCTGGTACAAGAGGTGTTCTGCACTGGGTCTGGTTGCTACTGAAGCAGGACAGAGAGCCATCTCCATAAACAGGAACTTCAGACTATTGCCTCTTCTTTGGTCCTTAGTCTGAAGTTCCTAAAGATCTAGCTCTCATCCTGAATATAACCTTCTCCCAATCACTTTAAATAGTTCTCTTGAAGGTCACTGACTGCCATCTGCTTTCAGCATATTGCCCACTGTGTTTAGATCCCTGGGACCAAGGAATGTCACAGGGCCCAAGCAGGAAAGCCTCGCTAGGCAGGTACTTACCCACTATTACCTACTATCACTACACTTATGTCTGAGCTATTTATACTTTTCTACTACAGTCTACAAGTTTGCCGCCCCCCCCCCTCCTCTCCCCCGACTGGTCTCAAACAAAGGAGTTTGCCAGAGTAGGGAAGGTCAGGCCTTGGGGCTCTCCTGAGTACCTGCCAGCCTCTGGCTGGGCTCCCCTGCCACCGGGCTGCCAGTCTTTCAGAGAATCCCAAACCAGAGAGACTCAACCTGTATTTACAGGGAGAAAACTATGGGCATCTCTTGCTGAGCAAGAGATAGGAGCATTCCAATGACTGCCACATACAGAAAGAGTAAACTGAAGAGGAGTTGGGCCAGCAGGTGCTTATATACTGCACCAGGATGGTACCACTCAAAGGGTACAAAATAAAACTCAACATACCACTAGGGGGATGAAATCTTCCAATAATGCTTCACACATGTGCACACCTATTCTGGAATGGACATGAGGAAGCCCTCCAACAATCATTAGAAACTTATTTTCCTAAAATATACAGCTACACCACCACTTCCTAATAGCTAGTCACAAAAATGATCATGAGATGCTAAAAGTATCCTATACCTCTCTACAACATGATCAAGATTCCTTCAAAATTCAACAGTCACTGAACCAAATGATAAAGGAATTCAATGGATGGAATTAAATGCTGGAAAACTAAAAATGTTATATTTGTGAATGACATGCAGCATCTTACCCTAATGGTTTGATGGAAGGAAAAAGATGGATGCCAGCCCGGACTAGTGTTTAAGCATATGCACAGTAGCCATGGCAACTTCATCTATTAACTAGCTAGTTGCCCTTTCTACATCCTGAACACTACAGTTACACTGCAAACATTGGTCTAATGCTTGAAAACCTAACAGAAATGCTTAAAAACCATCCTTGGTACTATATTTTCATTATCCAAGAGGAGGGAAACGAAATAAGCAAACAGAATGAAAAGCAAATGTACCTTTTTAAAAAAAGCGGAACAAAAATATTTCATATATAGTGGATACAGAAATTTAAGACAGAGAAATTTAACCAATATCACGTCAAGATACTTCTGCTAAATACTAGCCAATGCAACTTTAAGCACTTTCCAAAGAATAATAAAATAAATCAGCCTCTTAAGGTAGATATTATGCCATTTATAAACAGAGAAAATGAGGCATTGCAGTGACATATGATTTACGCAACTTGCCACAGAAGCAAAGTAGGAATACAAGACCCAAAACTTCTGACTCCCACTTCCTTCCAAATCACTAGTAAATACACCATCTTGTGTAACCCCAATAAATACAAATCTGACCTTGTCTTCCAAATCCTCTGCTTTTGTTATTGTCATTATCACCTGAAAAATAAAGACAGAAATATTTAAATTAATTGGGTATGACAGTGCTTTACAAATCCTAATATATTATCTTTAAGCATTTATGACTACAGATAGCAGGATCTCTCCTCTGTGGAAGCAGGCTCTTTGTTGGCCAGGCCTCTCACACGTATTGCCATCCATGCAAAAGGTCAACTTCCCCTTGATGAAAACCCTTACACTATGTAACTTAAAGGTCAGCGACGAACAGGAACCAAAACCAGACCTAAAAAGTTCATGTAAAGTTCATGCTGGTTGTGCTGACTGTGCCATGCCCGATAAGGCAGGAAAGGAAAAACAGGAAACCATCTCACCTCCTTACTCCTGTCACTTAGCAGACAGGGTCTGCTAGCCTATCACAAAAAGTGAGCAAAAGCTCTCTATAAACCAGCTACCCCTCCTATATCAAATTGAGAAATCCCGAATAAACATTGGATGGCAGAATACGAGCCAGGCCCAAGGACTAATCACCCGAAGGCCACCTCCTGCTCACCAAACCAGAGTTCCTGTAGAGTGTAACGTATACCAACTATGCTGTTGTTGCTGTTGTACTTTGTGTTTTTTCTAAGTGTGAGTATTACTATCTAAACTTAGTTAAAAGTTTTGTTAAGTAGTATTGTTAAGAGTTTTAGATAAGTAATTAGACTTGTGAGTAAGATTAATGTAAACGTAACTGTTGATAATCCCTGGTCCCTTATTGACAACTATTGGGACTTAGAAAAAGCTCAGAGAATTTTCAGTTATTGTATTGCACTTCGCTTATTGCTACTACTAATAGTTATTTGGCGGCCACACATGTAAGAGACTAAAAGAAAAACTATAATTGGAAGTATTCTAATAAAAGTTTAAAAGATATTTAGTAATGGTTTGCCTGTTTCTGCGCCTCCCTGGGACTAGCCACATTTCCGAACCTTTTACTTTTAACCACATCCTCAATAAACAACACCAGGCAATAATTGTGTCAGCCATCTTACTAGTAAATCCTCATGTAAAAATAAAATACAGGACTATGTAGCACTGTAAAGACTAACAAGATGGTTTATTAGATGATGAGCTTTCGTGGGCCAGACCCACTTCCTCAGATCAAATAATGGAAGAAAATAGTCACAACCATATATACCAAAGGATACAATTTTAAAAAAATGAACACACATGAAAAGGACAAATCACATTACAGAGGGGAGGAAGGAAGGTAAGTGTCTGTGAATTGCTGATATTAAAGGTAGGGAGAGTGGGATGTTTGTGAGGTAATGGTATTAGAGGTGATAATTGGGGAAGCTATCTTTGTAATTTGTAAGATAGTTGGGGTCTTTGTTAAGTCCAGTGTGGAGAGTGTCGAATTTTAGCATGAATGCCAGTTCAGAGGATTCCCTTTCAAGTGCAGATTTGAATGTCTTCTGAAGTAGGATGCAGGTTAGCAGGTCATTGAGACTGTGTCCTTTCTGGTTGAAATGGCAAGCAACTGTTTTTTCTTTGTGATCCTGTCTAATGTCTGTTTTGTGGGCATTGATTCTTTGGCGAAGTGTCTGACAGGAGTTATTCTTCTATTGGTATAGCCACAACATGCGTCAAACTAACACCAATTAAGTTGAAAGAAGCACCGGTATTAGGGTTTTTCCAACAACTATAATTTTTCCACACTTCTAGCAGACATAGCTGTGTCAGTAGAACTTTGTAGACTAAATCAGAGTGGAAAGGAAGGACAGTGACTAAGGTACTTGAAATCCTTTAACTCCAGTGGACCAGTCCTATAAAGCATCTCTTGGTATGTGATAAAACAGCAGCTTCCATCCAAAAAGCCAACCTGCATTCAATTATGGGACTTGTTTAATTTTGTTCACTAAAAGACAATTACTTTTTCCGTAACTAGTGTTCAAGTAGTATTGTGTGTGTCCATTCCCTATTAGCCACACGAGTTTGCTACATGCACTGGTACTGGAGGTTTTCCCCATCAGTATCTGTAGGGCAACAGCTCTGGTACCCTCTGGAGAAGCACCTGCATGCTGTCATACAAAGGGCACTGCTGGCTCCCCTACCCTCAGATCCTTCTTGCCAGAAATTCCAATAGTGGTGAAGGAGAGTAGGTCATGGAATGGCTACTAGCAATACATCTCAAAAGAACACCAATCATAGAAGAAGTGTCTACTTGTGTCCATTCCATATTAACTCAAAGCTATACCAAGAGGCAGATAGGAGTTTATCAACATTTAGGTTGCAACACTGCTCTGCCAGACCCAGAGTCATCTCTGGCCTACTGAGGGATGAACAGTATTCTGTAAACATAGACAGAGGACCACTTTGTGGCTCTACAGATATCCTAGGTAACAACGGATACCAGGAAGACCACTGAGGATACCTGCCAAATGGGCTCTGATGACAGGCAGAAATGGTTCTCTCCCCTCCTCTTCCCCTCCCCAGCAGCTGGTAACAGGTTTTTAAAAGGTGATAAGGGAGTTACTCAGCTCGTGCAGTAACGAGTGTTCTTCGAGATGTGTGTCCCTGTGGGTGCTCCACTCTAGGAGAAGGGTCGCCCTGAGCTGCAGATCGGAGCTTTGCAAAGCGGTTTCCCCCCTATTGAGCCACGCATGCTCAGAAGGCATCTCGAGCCCTTCCCGCCTCCTGAGAAGCATGACTCAACCCCCTCCCTTTCAGTTCCTCGTCTCCACCCGAGTAATTGAGACTCCATGCAGAGGGGAGAAAGGGAGGGTCGTGGAGCACCCACGGGGACACTCGTTACTGCATGAGGTGAGTAACTCCCTTTTCTTTTTCGAGTAGTGTCCCCGTGGGTGCTCCACTCTAGGTGACTACCAAGCAGTATTCAATGTATGGCTGGAGGGAGCCAGAGTCAATGTTTAGCGGTGGTAGAGAGCACCGCTGTAGCTACTGCTAAGTCATGTCTAAGTTGTGGTAGGATTGCATAATGTCTGGCAAAGGTGTGGTCTGAAGACCATGTTGCTGCTCGGTAAATATCCCTTAAGGGGACATTGTTCAAAAAGGCTGTAGAAGCGGCCGTGGCTCGAGTGGAATGCGCTCTTGGTGGGCACTGTAGTGGCTTATTGCCCAAGATATGACACTTGACTATGCATGTCGAGAAAAAAAATTCAGAAAATACCTCAGCGATGGATATAAAAAGCCTTTCTGACAAGGTATGACACTTGACTATGCATGTGGAGATCCATTTTGAGATTCGTTGTGAATGACGGGGTGTTCCCTTAGAACGCTCAGCGATTGATATAAAAAGTCTTTCGGATTTACGAAATGGTTTTGTTCTTTCCAGGAAGAAGGCGAGAGCCCTCCGAATGTCCAGGGTATGCAGAGTGGCGTCCTTCTGTGATGCATGCGGTTTCGGAAAAAAGGTAGGTAGTACGATCGGTTCATTTACATGGAATTCTGTACAGACCTTTGGCAGGAATGTTGGATGAGGTCTAAGTATGACCCTATCCTTCGCAAAAACTGTGTAGGGGGGTACTGCCATTAATGCCCCAATTTCACTCACCCGTCTGACGGACGTGATAGCTAATAAGAAGCAGACTTTCATAAAGAGAAAGGGGAATGGTACTGTAGCCAGAGGCTCAAAAGGAGGTCTGGTGAGGTGGTGGAGAACAAGATTTAGGTCCCATAAGGGGGGTGGTGCCTTATAGGGTGGGTATACGTTCTGGAGCCCTTTAAGGAATCTTTTAGTGATAGGATGGGCAAATATGGAGAAGCCATCAATGAAGGTACGGAACGCTGTTATTGCAGAAAGATGGACTCTTGAAGAGATTGACAGTCCTGACACTAAGGTCTAGAATGTAGTCCAAGATTGTATTTAGTGGGGCGACACGGGGTTCTACCTTGGTTCGCAGGCACCAGTGAGAGAATCGTGTCCATTTTTGCAGGTAAGTTTTTGAAGTGGACTGTCTCCTACTGTGGAGGAGGATGTCCTTCACTTGCTGGGAACAGTGATTTTCTATCTCCGAGAACCAGAGAGCAGCCAAGCCTGAAGGTGTAGGGTATGGAGCTGTGGGTGCAGTATCGTTCCATTGCTCTGAGATATCAGGTTTACACGGTGTGGTAGCATGTAAGGAGGGTGAACCGCTAGCCTGTGCAGGTACGGGTACCAAGTTTGGCAGGGCCACGACGGGGCTATCAGGATGATTAGGGCTCCGTCTCTGCAGATTTTGCGTAAGGTTTTTGGGATTAGCATTATGGGGGGGAAGGCATAGTGTAGGGGGGCTGTCCATTTGATTAGAAAGGCAACCCCCAGGGAATGTTTGCCAAGTCCTGCGCGTGAGCATAACTGGGGGCATTTGGCATTGTGGGTAGACGCAAAGAGGTCTATGGATGGCCATCCCCATTGGTTGAAGATTGAGTTTAACTCCCACTCGTGATCAGAGGTGAAGTTGCAGCTGAGTGAATCTGCTCTGGTGTTGTTCACCACGGGCAGGTAGGATGCTATCAGGGTGACATGGTTGTGGATGCATGAGTTCCACAGGCAGATAGCTTCCACACAGAGGGAGTGGGCTCCGCCTTGCCTGTTTATATAGAACATTGTGCAGATGTTGTCCGTTAGGATGCGGACCATCTGATTGGCAATGTTGGAGGCGAAGTGTGCGCAGGCATTCCTTACTGCCCGCAGTTCGAGGAGGTTGATGTGTAGTCGTGCCTCGGATGGGGACCACCTTCCCTGAACCCCTTGATCGTTCATATGTGCTCCACAGCCAAGAAGGGAAGCATCTGTGGTAATCTGTATAGTGGGTTCGATCTGTTGGAATGGAACACCTGTCAGGAGGTTGTTCGGTATCGTCCACCATCGTAAGGATGCAAGAACGTTTGGAGGAATAGTCACCGTCTTGTTCAGGGAGTGTCGTGACGGTATGTACACACTTGCTATCCAGAGTGGGAAGCATCGAAAATGCAGACTAGCGTGGTGGACTACATAGGTGGTGGAAGCCATGTGGCCCATTAGTCGGAGACAAGTAAGTGCTGTAGTGGTAGGAGTT